CAATATGTTGAAAATATTTAAATTCTAATGTGAATATAATTCGTAGAAAATATTTAGAAACATTGTTTATAAACTGTTTACAAAAGAAAGTCTTTAGTAATATTTGAACATCGTTTTGTATGTGATACAGTATTTTTAAATTTACATTCTCAATTTGAAATAATCATGATTTCAGAAGAAAAAAAGAACATAAATATATCGTTCTTGATTAACATATTTATGGCCCTCAATTTATCATATATATTAAACATACGTATATGGTAGTGGTACGTTAGTAACTGAATATCTCATACGTCATCTGTTCCAAGAAAAAAAAAACAGATGAAATTTGCCGTTCGTAAGAAACGCGTTGATAATACGACAAAAAAAAAAAAAAAAAAAAAAAAAAAAAAAAAAAAAAAAAAAAAAACAGAAATTCAAATAATTTTTAAATTTTGTATAAGTGTAAGCATTTATCGAGTACGTTATATAAGAAATTTTACAAATTATCCATTCCATTCTAGATATCTTTCTATCCGAAATATTTATCCTCTTTTACAGATTACAATTATAAACAACAATGAGAATAATGTATTATCTTGCGGCATCTGCATGATTATCTTCACGCATAAAAGTTCAAACGTACTTTTCATTACAATATTCTTTCAAGAACATTTGGTGAAATAATGCATTGTTTGTATAATTTTGATTTCCATGTTTGATAAGAAAAAGGAATAGAATGAAACCGTAAGTCGAGGAATGCTGAGCTTAAATTGCACACATAACCGCAAGTCATAAACTACTCTCATAACGTACTGGCATTATATCGATATATATAGTAGAAAATTTTTATGAACAAAAATATTTTCGAAAACAGATTATGCAATGTCAGGGAGCACAAAATTCATAGAATAAAGTCTATTAAAAAAATCTTAAAGCTAATATAAACATAAGTTTATACATTCGATAAAAAATATTGGCATTATATTTCAAAATAAGTACGTCGATCAATCAACCGTAAATTTACGAGAATAGCAAAAATATTGTTCCTTATCAGTTTATGAGTTAAGAGTTCCTTATCAGCAATGCTCGTGTGATGCTGTCACTAATTGGCCTTCGGACTTTTTCAAAAAATAATTTTCACCATTCTCCTGCGTACGATGGTTCAATTTGAATATCATTATCAATAAGAACATATAAAGCCAGCCCATCATTTATTATCAATTCTAATGTTAATTATAATGATATTATAGTCATCACAATAATAAACCTACGACGCACTATATAAATTGTTATATTTTTTAAATGTTGGTAATTGAATGTCGCTAAGTGCAATTAGATGTAATTGTACGTATCTGTTTGGATAACCGAATGCATTGACTATTATGAGGAAGAGCTTAGCCCTTTAATGTCTGAAACTAACGTTCAATGAACATTGAAATGTTCTCGATGTTCTCGCACCGAGCATTTATTTCACGAAATAGCAATTACTTGGCAACCGACTGAAATAGCGATCGAATCGAGCTAATGTAACGAGGAGTCAAGTGAAAAGTTCCCATTGACAAAATTATTAAAAGTCAAAAAACCACGGCACCTCCAACATTGGTGCTCCAACAATTTTCTATTTACCTTTTTAAAAATGGCATTGCGCAACGAGCGTAAATGTTACCACTTCACTTCACCCGACATCCCCCCCCCCCCCCGTACTCCAATGCGTCTGTCCTTATTCTGCGTCTGTTGCCGCTGCTGCCACTTCTGCCAGTGAGTCAGCGTGGGACTTGGCTTCGTTCGGCCTTTGCATTGGTATCCCGACAATTTCTAAAACGATATGATTTGACGTCGACACCGACGGTAGCCAGCCAACGCAAAAAATGAGTCGCCGTGAGGAGGAAAAGTTTCGCGGACGTAGCTCCGACGACGGACCGGCACGCGAATTCTCAAAGGCTGTGGCGCGCTGCACCGGCCTCGCGCACAATGAAGGCGAGGCGCTCGAGAGCCGCCAGGATTGCGCTCGAGGTGGCAGTCGAGGTGGTGGTCGGGCCCATGGGCGGACCCCCAGTCAGCCGCTCCCGATGCCGAGCTATATAAGTCGTGGGTCGTGCGGCTTGAGACGATCTTTATAAACACAATCGCCACCGCTTCTTCTCTCCTCCGCACTAAGCACAAAAGACGACATCACTGCGACAATGCGTCAACTAGTGAGTCCCCATAGACATCATATCGTAACATTTATCATCTTTTAAGAGTCGTGAGAGCGATTGATTGCCGAACGCGCGCGAGCTTCTTCATCCCGCGACATTTAACCGATCGGACGTGCCTCTTGCGATCACTGCTGTTGAAGTTGCTGTTGCTGCTATTGCTGCTGCTGCTGCTGCTGCTGCTGCTGCTGCTGCTGCTGGAAGCTTGGCTTTGCAGAGCAAAAGAGCAACACATCCGAGAGTGCGAGAAACAAAATTAGCTCCCAACAGGAAGAGCGAGTGAGAGAGAGAGAGAGAGAGAGAGAGAGAGAGAGAGAGAGATTACCGAATTTGTCGTGTTTGTTTATAAAATCAGAGATTTCGTGTGCTCAGTTCAAGTGTTACGTGCCAAGTTTCTTTTTATTTCTCTTCATGAATTTAACATATTTAGCCATAGTTTTAATAGTTTACAATCTTACCTCTCATCGATTTATTCCTTAAGAATAACGAATTTACAAATTAGCATTAAACAAATAGCGTTCCGCGTTCTAACATTAAAATAAATAACGCGCGTTTCCCTTAACTAGACACAATCAGAATTGCCCGATAACAGGCAGGATAAATTTCTTTTTCCGTTTTCAAATAAACTAAAAATCATACGCACACGTGCGCGCGCACACGCGCACGCACACATATTTCATTCGCTTCTATACGGGTTTTTCCCCAACATTTTCTCATGCATTTGCTAAAAGCATATTTTTATTTATATAAAGCCAATGGTAAATGAAAATCTATAACCTTTTTTTTTTTAATCTGAAGTTCACAACTTAAACCAACCTAATTTACTAACTTCGTTATGTACTAATTTGGCTTAATAATTATATGATTTCATAGCTAAACAATAAGTTTGCATGTAAAAATACTGACGTGATTTTCTACAATTGCACATAATCGTTTAGAATACAATTTAGTATTATTATTATTACTATTATTATTATTATTATTATTATTATTATTATTATTATTATTATTATTGTCAAGCATATATTTTATTGCAGATTTAAAATGTATTTTAAATAAAATCAATTGACTAATTAGTCAATTAAAATAACGCTTTAACACAATAAATGACCAATAGATTTAAAAATTACTTGATAAGCACAGTACTTGTGCTTAGACTTGTAAGAATCGTTAAGAAAAAATTCTACCAAATTGAAATTTTATATCAATTAAAATCAATATTATTAACTCTCTACTTAAAATAGAAAATTATTTATTATATGTAATATTAATAATAATTTTAATCTAACGCGAAATACTTTTAACTAATGCATATATGATATGATTTCTTTGACTTGGTGGAACTAAATAATTAGTAATTATGGAATAACGTGTTTCAATAATAATATAATATAAAGTCATTAATTCGTATGGATTATTAAAAATAAATTGCACGAATAAATAAAATGTAGATTAAATTTTGTCAACACAAGCATACATCTAAATATAATTGGGCTCAACAATTTTGAAATTTTTATTTATTTTCATTAGTTAATTATAATTATAATTATAATTACCCTATACTCAAGAGTTATGTTCGAAAGTAAAATATATAGCGGATTATTATCAATGCAAATGTAAATTAAATGATATTAATGGTACAAAGTTTCAATGAAATATTTTATTTCATTCGATTAATTTTATTCAGAATCTTATTAATCTATTCAACTATTTAACATACAGGCAATGCCAACAATTTGATTTAAAATATGCATTTCTCATCGAACACATATTAACTTAATGACTGGATGTTTATTAATTTTTAACGAAAATAGCAAATATTTCTCAATTTATTTTAATAAATGAAATTTTGCAATTAATTTAGCAGAAAATCATGTGCATTGTCAGATAATGTATAATAATTATTGTTTATCAAAGATATATTGTAAAAGTAATGGCATCGTTCATCTTCATTCGATTAATAATTATTTGGAAAATATTGAAAACTCTCGTTTATATTACCATCAACTTTTATTCCTCCGTGTTACAATTGTGCCGATTTTTCTGTCATTTATGCGAGAATGTTCCGGTTTCGTTATGTTAAATTGTAGAAATTATTAAACTTGGCCGTATTAACTTTTAAAGAATATTTTGCATTTAAAATAAATTCAAGCGGATTTGTTTACATCTCAATTGAATAAAATCATATGCAATATTAATAAACAGAAATTACAGAGGCCATAGTATAACCAGCTTTACAATTTAAAAGAAATTTTTAGTTAATTCGCTTAAAACTGTCTGTCTTTCAATGCTTTAGACTATTTTATTACATCGAATGTGTCATATTGTAATAAAGTCTTACAATACTATAACACCCACATTTTTTTTATCGAATGCCATCACTCTTATATCTCAATGTTTAATTTTATTAATTGCCGTCTAATAGCGCTAAAAAGGAAACAAAACAAACAAAACAAACAGAACCAAAAAAAAAAAAAAAAAAACTGTTGTTCTATTTACTTAATTGACACACTTAATTACACAAACTTGTGGTCGCGGCACAACGAATCCAATCAGACGATCGAAGAATTACGGCTGGCATATCAAATGTTTTTATATTAAATATTTTCAATAGCAAATAAGACGTCGTCGGAAGCGATTAGCTCTAATGTGCTGGCACACCTGACACTCGCCAATAACTCTCTTGACGCGGCTTGAACCGATGAACTTGCGAAAGCTCGCCGCCGCTCCGCTCCTTCGCAGCCTCGATCTCATCGTTTATTCAACATTCACAATTCCATCGGTAATAATAATCTAATAATAATCTTCCGCTTTGCCTTTCAGATCTATTTGGCTACTTGGCTGTGCCTCGAAGCGGTGCTCGGCCAATATGCCCAGCAGACGACGCCAGTCCCGATTTTGAAACAGATAAACAGGTGAGAGTTGGGCGCGTAATGCAGCGTTGTGCGTCGTTGCGCTGCCCAGGTAATTCGACTATTGTTGTGCAGCGTGTGCAGCACAATGGGCCAAATTGCACGGCCGAGTTTATTGGCGATATTTGTCGCTGAAGAAAGCTTTCTTTCCTACTTTTTGCCCGCTCGTTAAAGCTGCCCGTTACGCAACGCCATTGTATAATCCTTATTAGAAGCAATGTTTTACGAGTATTTGAGAAATTGGTTGGTACTTGCTTTCGATATTTATGCAATTATGTTCACTCGTATAATTGACAACGGGATGCTTATTTATCATAGATGAATTCCTGGATGAGATGGCATATTTTGTACGTTCATATCCGGTTTATTAACCTCTCAAGTTATTGATTATGATAATTCATTAGCATATACAATAAAATTCGATTTATCTATAATTTTTTTACATACGCTCGCACATAAATATATTGCATTCTTTTTATTATTAATATTCCTTGTAAGTCAATTTAAGGCTTTTATTTTAAAGCTTCATCAACAAATTCCTTAAATCTTACGAAAAAAATATTCCGTACCTCCTACTATTTATTGTTTTCTAAACTTAGTCTGAGTTTTACTCAATATCTTAATTCGAATCAATGACGATTTTGTTAATTTATTTATTAATTTATTCAACAACAAAAAAGACCTACTGCATACGTAATAAAACAAATTTCGCTTTAATTTTACTTATTCAAATTTTACATTATAATTCCGAATTTTATCAAGAATTTTGAAGCAATTTATTTAACAACATACACAACAATCGTAGATATTATCAAGCACGCCAAAGAAAAATATATATATATATATATATATATATATATATATATGCATTCTTGATATTTCTTGCATAATAGCATAGGGAAAATATTTATAATCGACTAACGTATACCAGTTTTCGTAATTATATTGGCAGTCAAAAGTCAATGATCAATACATTAACGACAATATCCCAACTTTGTTCCGAACGTAACCTTACACGACACATACAATTTATCATCTTACGCACTAAACGATGATCGATAGATCGGTATCGACAGTCAACCGTGCAAGTCAACAGACCACTGCCACACATCACACCATTGCCTTCCCATTTTTTACGCTAAATCCATTCCAATTTGTTAAAATGACCGCACCGACTTGAGAACTCAAGCTCCCACGCTTGTCCATTAGCCCTTAAGACATACGATGATAATACTAACACGAGGTTACACGGGCACTGCGTACAGGTACAACGAGGACGGCAGCTACAGCTACGGGTACGAGGGCGCGGACGGTACTTACAAGATCGAATCCAAGTACCCAAGCGGTGAGGTATATGGCAAGTACGGCTTCCTCGACGACACGGGCAGTCTTCGCGAGGTCGAGTACGGAGCGTCCAAGCGAGGTTTCGAGCCCACGGGCACTGACATCAACGTTCCGCCCCCGACCATCCTCGGCAACAGCCTCCCCGACGGCAAGACCGAGCCTGACGATGACGGCCAGTACCGCGAAGATCCCTCCGTCTACTACACCGATCCCAAGTACACCAATGGCGAACGCTACGAGGCCGTGTCCAGGATCTATCCCCTACAGACTCAACGATCGGACTACAAGCCCATGCCCAGGTAACACCCCATCATCTTCCATTTAATATCTCCAGTCGTTTCAATTTCATTTAACAATGTAGTATTTAAAATCAGAGCCTCAAGTACTCTTGAGCGTGAATTGGAGAATTTTTACTATCAGTCGGTCCGATTATTTCCGATGTCTCATAGCACATGTCACAACATCAATAACTGCGCACATTATTTTATGATGATTCTTAGATGAAATAGAATCGAATGAAAGAAAAGCTAATAAAGTGCATTTTTCCATTTTATTTGAAAAATTTCTCATAAAGTTTTATATTAGCAAATTCAATGATAAAGCATACTTTATAATAAAAGGAAATATAGGAACTCCATAGGCATTAACTATTCGTGAAATTATTCATAGCGTCATTGGCCAACGTATATTTATTATTCATGTCGTTAATGTAATCTTATCGGTGGTATTGAAACAGCTTACAAGGTATTTTATTTTGATTTTATACTCGATTGCTACCGTGATTATTGATAATAAAAAACAATTTTTTTTTTTTTTTTTTTTTTTTTTTTTTTTTTTTTTTTTTACATATAAGGGATTAAAATTATTTACAAACAACCGCGATTCTTTCTCTATTGGCAATAATTTCATTTAACAATTAATTTTCATTTAATAAGGCAATTATTAGGCAGTAAATTGTACTCTTTGATCGTTTTTAAAGGAGTGTGTGTAGAATATTACATCGAATAACTTGGAATTGAATTACATAAATTATGAGTTACAAAATATCCTATGGTTTCCAGGATTATTATATAAATATATATATTTTAATGAATTTATTTGAAAGTATTATAAAAAAAAAACGGTACACAATGTAAATGCATTTATATAATTCTTTGTACAAATGAAATAATATCTTCAAGGGATTTAATACAAAAATAGATTACAAGATTTTCAAACAAAATTGTACTTTATTGTGAAATTTATTAGATCGGCTTGTATTATAATTTCATTTTCATATGTGATTGATAAAATATGAAATTAGGGTTAGCATTTATTTATCGGTAAATTACCGAGTACAAAATCAGTAGTGCGAAAACTATGATTATACGTGTTACGCGACTTTAAAGTTGCTTGCTTTTTTACGCACTTCGATATTTGAGAAAAAAAGAAAAAAAAAATAATAAATAAATAAATAAATAAATAAAATAAAATAAAATTGTTGCCCCTCATTATTTACGACTTTTCGTTAATTTCGAAAATGTGTTGGAAGTTATTCTTCAATATTATCATAAATTGCATACGATAAAGATACGAAAGAAAATTATTCTTCATAGAAACAATAAATTTATATAACATTGTAAATTATTGCTTAGCTTTTTGATTTTTTTTTCTTCTTTTTTTTTGTTCTTTTTTTTTTCTTTTCTTTTTTCTTTTCTTTTTTTTTTTTTTTTTTTTTCTTTTTTCTTTTCTGTCGAAAGATAAAACAAACACACATTTGTAATTTTACATGAGCTACCCGATGGATATTCATAGTTAAAATATACGGTTACCATAATAAATATTGTGCAGTTTTTGTCGATGATTTGCAAGTGATTCGTAAAGAATGAGATTTTTGTTGTTGTCAGGCCTGTGTATGGGAATCGCAACGTGATTATGAAATTTGAAAAAGACATTTACTTCAATTTTTATATAGCCGTATAGTTTCCAAACGTTTACTCTCAATGGTAAAACATCATTTTGCTTTAATGCCCGCTCGTTTGTACATCGTACATCCTCATTAATGATATGTATGCAATTAAATACACATATACATACACAACAGCCGAGACAATTTATTTACAGAATCGAAAACTCGATAAAAATCTAATGTACAGTAGCAGGTGAGTCGAGCGACTTAGGTGCATTGACTTACTGTTATAGGAATTATATAATATCGGACTATGCATTAAAAGTGAATAAAGTAAACCTTTCATTATATAATTAACCGGACTTTATCGCAAAGCACGCGTGCAATGAGTATACCAGAGTCAATAGATTATGGCTGTAAATATAGCTATAAATAAATCTCGTCTATGAAAATAAATCATAATGAAGGTAAAAGCGGAGCTATTATTCGGTCGGCAAATTTATCCGGGCAAATTGAACTTCTTGACGAGACTGTACGTCGGCGTAAGCCGGGCTCGAACGAGCCGAATGTCAAAATAGGTAATGGTGTTTGTGCGCGTCCGAGTGAACTCCGTGGGAATCCATTCGATTAAATGCGAGGGTTATTCGTTTCGCTTCTTGGATTCGCGAGTTGTGCGAGCGATAGGTAAATTCGCTTTGGCTAGTGTAACGTCAGTTGCGTCGTGTGCCGCATGAATCGCAGATAACGTGCTTCGAAATGTAGAAACCTTGCTTATAGTGCTTTACTTTCTCATCTGTTTTCCCATACTCATTTTGCAAAGCGCGCTTCGATCTACCCGTCGAAAATTGTTAATCTTGGATTGATTCCCAGTAGTCTCTAAGCTGAAAAACATCGATAGAGTAAATACCTGCCCTTTGCTGCTTCGACTGTCTATTTATTTAGACGTCAAGCGCTTGTACACGCACCAAGGATCTAATATTTTGCGAAACCAACGATCGGCGGATTAAATTTTCTTTGAAAATTATATAATATTGTCCGGTCCGTTAAATATAATTCTCTATTATGGTAGCATGAAAGTTCACTTTAAAAATCCCAGAGTGTATTGTGTTGCGGTAATATGGTAATTGATACATAGTAGCTTTACATTACAATAACCCATTGCGAGTCTCAGTTAATTACAGCAAGACTGTGGCAATAATTAATGTGAAAAATTTGTCTGTATTTAAGAGTCGACAATCCTGCCTATTTGTGCATCAATGCTAAATTCAAAAGTTAAAAATTTCGAATACAAGTTACATGCAATAATAATTTAATGAAAAGATGCATATCTATGCTTTCCAAATTCTTATTATTTTGTCTGTATTGTGTAAAAGTTACAAAGTAACGAGTTAATGTTACAACGTGTAAGTCTAAAATTTCATTAGACACACACACACGCGCACGCGCACGCGCACACGCACACGCACACGCACATATAAAAAGTGCACATTTAAAAATAATATTATTTTTAAAGATAAATATTATTCTCCAATTCGCCATTTGTAAATAATAAATAGAAACACTATTTATAATAATATTGGATTGTTTAAGTCGACATTTGAATTTCAAGCACGAAAATAAAACATAAGCAAGAGCATTTACCAAAGTAGAGAAATTGATATGACGAAAAGTCAAATGTTAACGTTGATTATAAATTGCAATTTCGATTAATTGTAAACTTGAAATTATCATAATTTAAAAAATTTGACAATAAATCAACTATTAATTCGCCAACCTTATCTCCAATATACAAACTTACATATGATATATAACGTGAAAAGAGCGATAATACATAAGTACGAGATGAGTAATCTGAGTAAGAAAAGCCTTTGAATTTTTCAACCGTTAAAATATTGGGCTTGACTCGATAGCGATAACAAGGGCCTTGACAGTGGCATGTAAAAACCAATGACCGAGACTTGATCGATCGATCTTATATCGTTGCAGCAAACCCCTGATGCCGCATTACCATAGATTAGCAGCAGTGCGACAGGATCAACTCAACGAGTACCCAGAGTACCAGCCCCAGTACAGAACGCAATATCAGTATCGACCAGTAGCGCTCCAGGTCGCGCAGCTTCAACCGCGGTACAAGCCGATACCATACCGATACACTGGCACTGCACCACCGGGCGTTGTCTCCTACAGCGTCAACTACAGTCGATGAAAAAGCTTATAGTTTGCATTTCTTTATCTCTAGTGGCTCGACTTCTTTCTTTGTACATAGATTGTTTTGCTTATTTATGCGCCACCGTGAATGTACGTGGCCTACGCTTTCCTCCCTAGCGTCAATTAAAATATTTTGTATTCATGTTGTTCCGAAGCCGGATAATGCGTTTGTAGTAGCGGAGCAACATCATATTATACGCACGTTTATAAGAGATATTGGTATTACGATTGTTGAATGAGAATTGTGAAATTATATTTCTTCTTCATAATTTATTTATTTGTCAGTGCTGCCAAGGAGTGAAAATATTTTTAAGTTATGGACATTCGATTTCCAAAGCCTGAAGGAAAGCTTATTAAACCATATTTAATTAACCATACATTGCGTGTTGTAATAAATTTATTATATACACACATATACATACATATATATATATATATATATATATATATATATATATATATATATATATATATATATATATATATATATATATATATATATATATATATATATATATATATATATATATATATATATATATATATATATATATATATATGTAATATATGTGTGTGTGTGTGTGTGTGTGTGCGCGCGCGCGCGTATGAGTTTAACCTTACATTTAAATTAAATTACACAAATGGAAAAATTTGTTTAATCGAAACGGCACGAGCTTATACTTTATATAACTTACTTCACTGTGCGATACGCGTCGGGAGAATGATTAACGATTCAACTAGACATTGCCCTTGTTTCCTTCATAAGATAATAAATAAAAAATACATATAAATAATCCATCAAACTCTTCGGATGATATCGACACGAGATATTAAAAATTGTCGAATTAGCGAAAGAAAGAAGTCCGGCACTAAAGCGAGTGCACAATCACGTGCTCGAGGGTATAATGAGCGAAAATCGTTGGATTTCCTAATCATTGCCTAACCCAAACGTCTCTCCTCTCAAATAGCATCGCCTTCTCATCTCGAATATGATGAATTTCCTGTTAGGAGCGTCGATTGGCCCAATACTCTCGATGCACCCGCGCAGCTCAATATTCACAACTGATCAACATACCCCACATGGAACGTTTATTTACACCAATACTATATACCTACACACATATGCATAATACCTCTTTATAAGTCTGTATATTATACTACCTCATCGATCAGAAAATGAGATACCAATAAAAACGTACTTCTTCTCTATAATGCAATGTATAACGTCATGTAATCGATTGAAACGTGCTCCAAGCGTTAATGATCCTGCGGGTAAAGAAAGAAAAATTAGCGTTGAAAATATTTTAGTGTTGTTGGCTCACTCGCATTTTATTCCCGATCGTCGAAGGCAAAAAGGCATTTTTATAAAACTCGTGGATAAAGAAGATTAACCAGCAGTACAATGTTGCTTTATAAAATATTTGTGAACGCTAATTCGTAACAATTAATGTAATTAATGTAACAACTTTTTTGTTGGAAAAGTAATAATGTCAGGGTTGAAAATTTGCAAATTTCCATGATACGTAGCAACAATGAAGTATCGGTATAGCGTAGGTGAAACTTTCTCGTATCGTTAAATTAGGCCATCTTCGATAAGGTAATTTTACAATTTTACTCTTTACTTCACTACATAATGCAAAGTCCAATGGGTAAAGTAATTATTTTTCTATATATCATGAAACGTAAATTCAGCACATTTAACAAACATTTTAATTTCTCGCTTTTTTTTTTTTTTTTTTTTTTTTTTTTTTTTTTTTTGATACTCCGCCCCTTTAAAATCCGTACTTGAAAGCAATTGCTTTCTAAAATTCTCAAATCCGTCGTAATTTTAACAGCTTGAATAAGCACGGAACGGAGTGTTATTTAACGTCAAAATGACTTTATTATTATCGCGTATAAGTGCATGGCGTTCTTCGTTTTAACCTTCCTCTCAAAGATTCATTTTCTCATTTGCTCTCGGCTTTTCCAACGACAATTGCTCGTATCTCAACTCACGACAGAATGCATAAGCAAAGGTGCGAGCAGCCTAAGGAATAAGCAAACTCGTAACTCCATCAGAAGTAAAAATCGAGCGTTCGGCCTTGCCACGCCGTCCGGACTACCTTCAAAGACATCCTGCTCGCAGCGAAACAAGTGGACCAGTCGAATATGCGTGCCTAAGCCGTAAGTTCAGTTCCAGGACATGCACTCGCCTCTCGCAAATAATAAAAGGCTGCGTGGAGGGTATTATTGTTGATTGCAGGCTACTGCCCGTGACCACACCCTGGAATTTCAGCCACACACCATCCGTATCCCCATGCCTATATAAGTCATTGCATACATTTGCCTTCACTCCCGCGCCTCGTGCATTCAGCCTCATTATCCTTATAATATATCGTTGGATGCGGCGTCGTGGTTCTCGTGAGCGGAAGAATCGGCCCTTTCAATCGTCCCGTCGAGCCGTTACACGAGCAGTCGCATTTTCGCTCACCTCCTTTTATTATTTAACCAACGGCCAAATTTCCTCTCGATTAAATAAGCTTCTCCCTCTTGTAGCTCAGAACATTATCAAATTCAAATTTAATATATAAATATTAAATATTGTACAAAATAATATATATATATATATATATATATATCCTTGTCATTTACTTAACATACCAAAGATACTTTTAAGTGATATCAATGAAATTATCAGTATCTTAGTCTCTATCAACAAAAAGTTTAAACTATTTGCATTAAGAATCCGAGTATCAACGAGAGCTATTAAATCTTGTTCCATTGTCGCGCATAATCATAATTAATTAAATACTTAATTGCCCTCTCGACGCTTATATAAAAAAAAAAAAAAAAAGAGGCAATGCAATGGCACGCGATACGTTATATAATTAATGATAAATAATGTCAATCGTTGCATTGGAAATTGACGATAGCTTGAAAAAAAATCGCCACGTCCCTATAATTTCTATTCCCCGTACAATAAGTAAGTGTCGATCGGTCGATCGATCCAATTAATGCGTAAGAAGTCAAATGGTACGAACTCGAGATTCAGTTTTGCCAACCTATGTCCTTTGTCTCGCCCACGAGGCAGGATCACAGCGAACAAGACTCGTATGCTGGTCACGCGCACGCACGCCATCCTGCGCTGCAATGTCAGGCAAAACAGAGTGCGAGAAAAAAGAAAGACATGGGTGGAGGTCGTGGCGTGGCGTTGGGCTGGTCCACAGCTCTTTCTCTTTCGACCGCCCTGAATCAGCGCTAAGCGTCCAAACAGGTTTATCGTAATTCAGCTTTGTGGATTCGGCTCTCGGATCACTGACTGAATGCTGTTATTAAAACTGTTACTGTTGTTGCTGCTGCTGCTGCTGGTGCTGCTGCTGTTGCTGCTGCTGCTACTTTGCCTTTCACAAAGCTTGAGGCGCAGACGCCATAATTCTTATCTAGTGGCAGTATTATTCCAACTATTTTCCAACTTCTTATCCAACTTTTGTGATAAGCTCCTATAAGCTTCCGTGGAATCGTAATTACGATGCTATTAAAATATTTTCTCGAATACATTTGCATCATCGTCCATCATTTAAATGCATGCGCACAAATACAAAGGCCATATTATTGAAAAATATATGTTCACGCGCATCCGCACACACTTACATTCAATTCAATCATTTCTGTCAGCGTGTAATAATTTAAAGAGATCTTTACGAGACAAAAATTTTAGATTTTGGACCGTGAGAGAAAAATTGTTTTGATAATTCAATATCGATATAAATGTAGTTTAAAATTTACATTATTGATGATAACTTTGAAAGAAGAAATTAAATTCTTACAAGAAAATTAATTTTTAAACAATTAAAATAGTAGATATAAAGTTATTTTTCCAAAAACATACTGTGGAAAATTAATGTAAAAATAGTATTTTAAACAATTCTATTAAAAGTATTCCTCGTCATTATAAATGATTGAAAAATATGAAAATCTTACATTTTTATACATACAGCTTAATTTTTCAACAAACAAGACACAATTATATTTCTGTGTAAGAAATTTTGTCGACTATTGCAATTCTCCCCAAAAATACACTGATCGATAAAGCCAACAATATTCATTTATGCGATAAAAATTCATGAAACAGACTATACAATGTCAAAGGATCTTATACTGAATATAGAATTAATAATCAAAAGGATGAACGAAAATGACGATACTCCTACTAAATATTCTCGAAGAATAATAACAAAAGTACTTTCTACGATTTTTATGACGTTTAGATATCGAAGCTTGTGAAATACCATATAGAAGCGAATTTCAATTATCTTAATTATTTATGCAGCTCGTTTCATCTGTACTATGAAACTGAAATAATTTTAATTAAAAATTTTTCGTGCTTCTTTGAGTTTTATTGTTCGGTGTTTATTGCACAGATATATATATATATATATATATATATATTGTAACATTACGCAAAGTTACATTACCAAGCAAACTAGTATTATTTTTACAATATTAAAATCGAAAACAAAAAGGGTATTATCGATATTCAAAATATTAAAATAAAAAGTAGTCGGATAAAAAGATTATGTAAAACATTAACTTTATCGAATTTCTTATCGATGAAATAACAAATAAAATTGCATACAACATACATTTATCTAAAACTTAATAATTTAACGCTGTAATTCATTTACATAGAAACAACGTAATAAAATAATGTTGAATAAAAAGGAACGTTTAATTTATAGAATTAAAAAATTCAATCGTGATTATATTTTAATAGACAGTTAAATTATTCCAATAAACATTATCAACATTTTGAAAATTAATTCAAAGTGTATTGGAAGGTGTCGTAAAATAATATCGAAGAAGATATTGAAAAAACAATAGGAACACATTTAATTACTTATGCAAATTATAAATACATTTTGTAAATGTAAAAAATTGCAGTAATCTGTAGAATTTTTATACAATCCTTAATAATTATTACAGTGAAATGTTTACGGCGTTACTATTAAAATTCACAAAGGTCTTAGAAATTCTAGCAAATAAATAGTTAAGGCAAAATTATTAAGTAAATTGCTATATAAGCTTAGCATAGAGGTTTGTCGGTTATAATAAAAGATCATTTT